AGGCCAAAAAGTGCGTTCTGGCTACTAGGTACGACATATATATATATATATATATATATATATATATATATATATATATATATATATATATATATATTATATATATATATATAGTGTTGTTGACCAATTTCATCTACATAGTTACAAAACACACCTCTGTGGGTATATTATATATATGTATATATATATATATATATATATATATATATATATATATAAATATATATATATATATATATATAATATATATATATATATATATATATATATAAGTTACAAAACACACCTGTGTGGGTATATAATATATATATATATATATATATATATATATATATATATATATATATATATATATATATATATATATATATATATAATATACCCACAGAGGTGTGTTTTGTAACTATGTAGATGAAATTGGTCAACAACACTAAAGAGTTTACTGGGAATGCCAGACGTTCCTAGGACATTGGTCAGTTCCTAATTAGTGTGTTGGCATGGAAAGTGTGACCCCACTAGCCCCCCCCCCCCACCACACACACACACACCTTCCGTTTCTCTCCATCTCTTGAGCCCCGAAGGAAGTTCCATTTAGTAACAGACGCAGAGTGGCCCTTGTGCTCTCATCAGCTGAACCCTCACAGGCACTGTGGAGGGTTATCCCAGTGCCACTTTTGCTGCTGATATCTTACTCTCGTTTAATTATCATGGATTGAGCCTCAATCTCATATTGGTTATAGTTTTAAGCGCACCAATCAACAGACACCGAGAAACACCGCTTACAGTGTTGGTTTCCCATGATAAGATATTCACCTTCCATTCTACAGAGTATTAACAGGTGGCCCTTCACTTCTATTCTACAGGCAGAGCATTAACAGATGGCCCCCCTCCCTTCTATTCTACAGGCAGAGCATTAACAGATGGCCCCCCTCCCTTCCACTCTACAGGCAGAGCATTAACAGATGGCCCCTCCCTTCCACTCTACAGGCAGAGCATTAACAGATTGCCCCCCTCCCTTCCACTCTACAGGCAGAGCATTACCAGGCAGTCCTTCACTTCTATTCTACAGGCAGAGCATTAACAAGTGGCCCTTCACTTCCATTCTACAGGCAGAGCATTAACAAGTGGCCCTTCACTTCCATTCTACAGGCAGAGCATTAACAAGTGGCCCTTCACTTCCATTCTACAGGCAGAGCATTAACAAGTGGCCCCTCCCTTCCATTCTACAGTCAGAGCATTAACAAGTGGCCCCTCCCTTCCATTCTACAGTCAGAGCATTAACAAGTGGCCCCTCCCTTCCATTCTACAGTCAGAGCATTAACAAGTGGCCCCTCCCTTCCATTCTACAGTCAGAGCATTAACAAGGCAGCCCTTCACTTCCATTCTACAGGCAGAGCATTAACAAGTGGCCCTTCACTTCCATTCTACAGTCAGAGCATTAACAAGGCAGCCCTTCACTTCCATTCTACAGTCAGAGCATTAACAAGTGGCCCTTCACTTCCATTCTACAGTCAGAGCATTAACAAGGCAGCCCTTCACCTGCCACTATATAGAGATGCAGGTCAATCAATGTTTTTAATGAATTAAAATAAGAGTATATCGACGTCAAGCAGACCTACCCAGTATACACAAGCGAGCACAAACTGTTCACTACTGACACCGACAGGTCGTGGGGAAACAGACAGCATTACACAATTAATATTAACTAGATAATAATGAACACGATGAATGGAATACGCGTCTCTGGTAATGCCTGGGGAGCAAGCTCATCAGGTTATACAGCCAGAGACATTCATCTAGAAGTTTAATACAGTGGCTATTTAATACATTAAGACGTCACACCATTTCCCAGTTAGGATTGTTAAGGGGCTCAAGTCAAATAATACAAGTATTAATAATTTCCAACAGGCTGAGGAGTGCATATAACTAGAGTGAATATAACAGAATGAAAGTTACACTGCTCCTAACTGGTAATATGTGACTGAAGAGAACTTAACAATAGTCATCTAATACAAATGTTCACTGGGTGAGAAGCCAGGGGGTTAGATTCACGAAGCAGTTACGCAAGCACTTACGAACCTGTACAACTTTTCACAATCTTTGGCGGCTTTGTTTACAATTATTAAACAGTTAATGAGCTCCGAAGCACCAGGAGGCTGTTTATAACAATAACAACAGTTGATTGGCAAGTTTTCATGCTTGTAAACTGTTTAATAAATGTAACCAAAGCCGTCAAAAGATCGAGGAAAGATGTATATGTTCGTAAGTACTTGCGTAACTGCTTCGTGAATCTGGTCCCAGCCTCGGCTAGATTTCTCGTAAACCGAGACAACATGCTCAAAAACTGCATCAGTAAGCATTAATTTACTCAAAAGACCATTTGTTTACATGCACATCACCGCTTCTCCTATGAATAGAAAACGTAGAGAGAGTAGAGAGGACAAAGTTCTAACAACAATACACAGAAACATCAAGATGAGAGTAAACTTTATTTATAGATAATGTGTCGTTTGAAGGATAATGTTTATCACATTAGAATTATCACATTAAATCTAATGTGATAAAGTCTCTACAGGCTAAATGTTTACCTCAATACACTCTCAATAATCTCATTGTTTATCTCAATAAACTTATTGTATTGCAGTTGTCTCTATTAAACATATCGTATTTCAAATCAGGCCCTGACCCTCTGCAAGACCCGTAATGCACAGTAAAAATGCATTAAAACCTTTCAGGTATAAATTCTCACAAGCATTTCTGCTACCAAAATTAAATTTACAATTTAAATAAATAATACAGTATTAATGACATGAACTAAACATACGCGAGCAAACGTGGCGTGAACCCATGGCACCTTGAGTCACAGCACACATGTGGCACTCCTTTACTAGTCAAGAAGGCGAAATTCAGACACAAAAACGTGAGAAACTCAGCTCAAAGGACACTGTAGAATGAGAACATGGCCTTTACTTCACCCGAGCAGCCCCAAGTGTCCTGAAGTTCTCGAGAGGAATTAATGGCACAAGACTTAATCTGCCGAGCCCAAGGTGGTTACTCACACACTTTTAATGTCTGCCAAGTATTGAACCAGAGCCAGTAATGAGGGTCCGGGGGGGGGGGAGATACAGGTGAGAGGAGTCTCATAGGGTGAGGAGTGTATGGCTCAGCACCCCAGGAGTAGTGAGGGATATGAGGCTTCCCCTCATATGAGGGAAGAGTAATATGGAGTGTCTGGGTCTTCGGCGCCATTGGTTAACTCTTAAGTATAGGGAGAAATAATGTTGGGTGACTCTTTTTCAGGGATATTCCTGCGCAGGCTCTAAGCCTCTGATTGGCCAATGTGTTGTTACTCATTTCTGTCTTACTTGGACGGTGGATGAGTATTTATGACTCGTATGTTGACTTTTCAGTAAGATTATGTACAATTTGATTAGCAACATTTTTTACGATCATAAAATCTCAGTTGAAATCCTATTTGGCTTGTAACTGTGCACTGTGGTAGATAATATTCCATTGGTCTGTTGGGCATTTCTCCACAGTGCTGACATTTCCTCTCATCTTCTGGAGCCTGTAAGCCTATTTCCCAATGCACATGGGTATCCAAGCCTGATGCCATGTAAGTGTACTTCTGTTGTTCTACTGCTCCCTTTCATCAAAATAAGTGGTTCATAGTTGGTCGAGTTCTTGTACCAATCAGCAGATCCTGATATTGTTTCTACTGTAGTATAGTCAATGTACATCTTCTGCATTACTCTATCTCCTATAATTTTCCTAATCTATGCTAGACTCTATGGAATGCAAATGTCTACTACTAAACTACTAAGGTGCTACTAAACTATACTGTATTACCTCTCGCTACAAGACGAGAGGTAATACAAATGCTATCTTGATATCTTTCGTGAAACTTGATGCTATCCCTCGTGTTACTAAACGAGATAGCGTAAAGTTTCTTCGGTCGCCGACCCCAGACACGAAAACAAAATAGTTCGAGTGGCGAACAGGTGGAGCCCCAGGCCGCTGACCAAGCAATCGTCCCCGCTGCCAGACTATAGACAGCTGTAGCTAACTTGCTCTTACTTGCTGGCTCGCTCTCGCTCCCTGGCTGGCTCCCTCTTGCTGGCTGGCTCGCTCTCGCTGGCTGGCTGGCTCCCTCTTGCTGGCTGGCTCCCTCTTGCTGGCTGGCTCCCTCTTGCTGGCTGGCTCGCTCTCGCTGGCTGGCTGGCTCCCTCTTGCTGGCTGGCTGGCTCGCTCTCGCTGGCTGGCTGGCTCGCCCTCGCTGGCTGGCTGGCTGGCTCGCTCTCGCTAGCTGGCTGGCTGGCTCCCTCTTGCTGGCTGGCTGGCTGGCTCGCTCTTGCTCGCTGGCTAGCTCGCTCTCGCTGGCTGGCTAGCTCGCTCTCGCTGGCTGGCTGGCTCCCTCTTGCTGGCTGGTTGGCTGGCTCGCTCTCGCTAGCTGGCTGGCTCGCTCTCGCTGGCTGGCTGGCTGGCTCGCTCTCGCTAGCTGGCTGGCTGGCTCCCTCTTGCTGGCTGGCTGGCTGGCTCGCTCTTGCTCGCTGGCTAGCTCGCTCTCGCTGGCTGGCTAGCTCGCTCTCGCTGGCTGGCTTGCTCGCTCTCGCTAGCTGGCTGGCTGGCTCCCTCTTGCTGGCTGGTTGGCTGGCTCGCACTCGCTAGCTGGCTGGCTCGCTCTCGCTGGCTGGCTGGCTGGCTTGCTCTCGCTGGCTGGCTGGCTGGTTGGCTTGCTCTCGCTGGCTGGCTCGCTCTTGCTGGCTGGCTGGCTTGCTGGCTGGCTGGCTTGCTCTCGCTCCCTGGCTGGCTGGCTGGCTTGCTCTCGCTGGCTGGCTCGCTCTCGCTGGCTGGCTCGCTCTCGCTCCCTGGCTGGCTCGCTCTTGCTGGCTGGCTGGCTTGCTCTTGCTGGCTGGCTGGCTTGCTCTTGCTGGCTGGCTGGCTTGCTCTCGCTGGCTGGCTGGCTCGCTCTTGCTGGCTGGCTGGCTTGCTCTTGCTGGCTGGCTGGCTTGCTCTTGCTGGCTGGCTGGCTTGCTCTCGCTCCCTGGCTGGCTTGCTCTCGCTCCCTGGCTGGCTCGCTCTCGCTCCCTGGCGGGCTTGCTCTTGCTGGCTGGCTTGCTCTCGCTCCCTGGCTGGCTCGCTCTCGCTCCCTGGCTGGCTCGCTCTTGCTCCCTGGCTGGCTCGCTCTCGCTCCCTGGCTGGCTTGCTCTCGCTGGCTGGCTCGCTCTCGCTCCCTGGCTGGCTCGCTCTTGCTGGCTGACTGGCTTGCTCTCGCTCCCTGGCTGGCTTGCTCTCGCTGGCTGGCTCGCTCCCTGGCGGGCTTGCTCTTGCTGGCTGGCTGGCTTGCTCTCGCTCCCTGGCTGGCTTGCTCTCGCTCCCTGGCTGGCTTGCTCTCGCTGGCTGGCTCGCTCTCGCTCCCTGGCGGGCTCGCTCTTGCTGGCTGGCTGGCTTGCTCTCGCTCCCTGGCTGGCTTGCTCTCGCTGGCTGGCTCGCTCTTGCTCCCTGGCTGGCTCGCTCTTGCTCGCTGGCTGGCTCGCTCTTGCTGGCTGGCTGGCTCGCTCTTGCTCGCTGGCTGGCTCGCTCTTGCTCGCTGGCTGGCTCGCTCTTGCTCGCGGGCTGGCTCGCTCTTGCTCCCTGGCTGGCTCGCTCTTGCTCGCTGGCTGGCTCGCTCTTGCTCCCTGGCTGGCTCGCTCTTGCTCGCTGGCTAGCTCGCTCTTGCTCCCTGGCTGGCTCGCTCCCTGGCGGGCTTGCTCTTGCTGGCTGGCTGGCTTGCTCTCGCTCCCTGGCTGGCTCGCTCTCGCTCCCTGGCTGGCTTGCTCTCGCTGGCTGGCTCGCTCTTGCTCCCTGGCTGGCTCGCTCTTGCTCGCTGGCTGGCTCGCTCTCGCTCCCTGGCTGGCTTGCTCTCGCTGGCTGGCTCGCTCTTGCTCCCTGGCTGGCTCGCTCTTGCTCGCTGGCTGGCTCGCTCTTGCTGGCTGGCTGGCTCGCTCTTGCTCGCTGGCTGGCTCGCTCTTGCTCGCTGGCTGGCTCGCTCTTGCTCGCTGGCTGGCTCGCTCTTGCTCCCTGGCTGGCTCGCTCTTGCTCGCTGGCTGGCTCGCTCTTGCTCCCTGGCTGGCTCGCTCTTGCTCGCTGGCTGGCTCGCTCTTGCTCCCTGGCTGGCTCGCTCTTGCTTGCTGGCTGGCTCGCTCTCGCTCCCTGGCTGGCTGGCTCGCTTTCCCTCTATATTAGTTAGATACATCGACGAGTTCACACATGAGAGAGAGGAACAGAGTTCGACAGTTCATAGCTGAGCTACACAGAGAGCATTGATTAATATGTAACACAAATAAATCCTTTAGTCGCTAGTTCCATTTAGATGTATTCCCAAAACACATAGATTCAAAGTCTCGAGGAAGTCTGAATAATTTCGACTGAGTACAATATAAACACAGTATAAGAAAATTCGTATATACGTATCCATATATATATATATATATATATATATATATATATATATATATATATATATATATATATATATATATTATTAAATATGACCGAAAAAGTAAGATGAATAATTCTAACACGAATTTTCTCAATCTTTCGTACATTACGCTTCACTGTTGGAGGTAAATCAAAATCACTTCTCCAAAATTCATTTTTATTTCTAGTCTGACGCGACACGGGCGCGTTTCGTAAAACTTATTACATTTTCAAAGACTTCACAAATACACAACTGATTAGAACGTATCTCTGATTTTATATCTACATTTGAGTGAGGTGGTAAGGGTGATGTGGCATTAACACAAGACAGAACAGGAGGGGATATTAATAGGGTATTAAAAGTATCAACACAAGACAGAACAGAAACAATGGGTATTGAATAAAAGTGTTTGTAGAAAGCCTATTGGTCCATATTTCTTGATGCTTCTATATTGGAGCGGAGTCTTGAGGTGAGTAGAATATAGTTGTGCAATAATTGGCTGTTGATTGCTGGTGTTGACTTCTTGATGTGTAGTGCCTCGCAAACGTCAAGCCGCCTGCTATCGCTGTATCTATCGATGATTTCTGTGTTGTTTACTAGGATTTCTCTGGCGATTTCTCTGGCGATGAAGAACTCTGTAGGGTAAGGCAGGTCCTAGTCAATAACGGCTTCTCCAATGGTTTCATCGAAGACATCATAAGAAGGAAAGTGAAAAGCCATGCAACCTCTGAAGAGACAACTAACACAACACCTATACCCCCTATTAGACTATTTTACAGGAACTTCTTTTCCACAGCTCATAAAACGGAGGAAAGGGTCCTGAAAGATATTGTTAATAGAAACGTTATCCCTACAGACAAAAATCAGAGGATACAACTGACGATTTACTATAAAACCAGAAAAACGGCCAGCCTACTCATGAGAAACTCTCCAGACACAAAACAGAACGCTTTAAAAGAGACTAATGTCGTCTATGCCTTCAAATGCCCACTTGGGGACTGTAAGCTCCAAAAAACCCAGTATATAGGCAAGACAACAACATCTCTTTTTAGGCGTTTAACGATGCATAAGCAACAGGGCTCCATTAAGGAACATATAATCTCTTCCCATAACCAAACCATCGCCAGAGAAATCCTAGTAAACAACACAGAAATCATCGATAGATACAGCGATAGCAGGCGGCTTGACGTTTGCGAGGCACTACACATCAAGAAGTCAACACCAGCAATCAACAGCCAATTATTGCACAACTATATTCTACCCACCTCAAGACTCCGCTCCAATATAGAAGCATCAAGAAATATGGACCAATAGGCTTTCTACAAACACTTTTATTCAATACCCATTGTTTCTGTTCTGTCTTGTGTTGATACTTTTAATACCCTATTAATATCCCCTCCTGTTCTGTCTTGTGTTAATGCCACATCACCCTTACCACCTCACTCAAATGTAGATATAAAATCAGAGATACGTTCTAATCAGTTGTGTATTTGTGAAGTCTTTGAAAATGTAATAAGTTTTAAGAAACGCGCCCGTGTCGCGTCAGACTAGAAATAAAAATGAATTTTGGAGAAGTGATTTTTGATTTACCTCCAACAGTGAAGCGTAATGTACGAAAGATTGAGAAAATTCGTGTTAGAATTATTAATCTTACTTTTTCGGTCATATTTAATAATATATGTCTACAGGAAAGACTGCTACCAAAATATGCTAATATATATATATATATATATATATATATATATATATATATATATATATATATATATATATATATATATATATATATATATATAGTTAACATGCCCCACGCGACGATAGCGATTTGGTCTTGGGGTAGAATCCTAGCCATGAAGGATTAACTAAGCGCCATTTACTGGTCACTCAAATGAACTGGGATTAACTTTTAACGCAAAACATTTCGCCACTAGGTGGGTGTCGCTGGGTACAACGCCGCCCAGCAGGTGGGCGTGATGTACAACACAGGCAAACCAAAATAATGCGTAGCTTGTCCACCACAAGTGAGCCCTCTAAGTGGCAAACACCTACAGGATGGGTATGGGGTCCATAATAAACAAATGGACCCCATACCATATCTGATGTCGACATCATAGACATCAGACCCATCTATGATGTCGTTATAGATGGGTCATGTCGTGCAAGGCGTCTGAGGTTCTGGCCGCAAGCTACTCTCTAGCAGCGAAGAAAACGTATTCCAACTTAACCTATTCGAGGTAAAAATACGATGTGAGAGCGGGGAAGGACAGAGCGGGGAGGCGCAGGTGAGTAGTCAGCCACCGTCTGGTTTTCAGAGACCGAGCCGCGGGGACGTTGATCCTCGGAACCAACTGGGTATAGGCACTGTGGAACTAGAGGTCAAATCGAACCCAAAATACAGCTCTGGGACAATCAACTTGTGACTTTTGCATACTAACTACTCTCTCTCGCCCCCTCTGCTTCCTGTGAGGTGGTCATGCCTTCCTACAATTTAAGAACGCGCTGTAATATTCTCCTATGCCTGTCTGTGCTGTGAAAAAGTGTCAAGTGCTTACTAAAGCGACGCTGGTGGGAGACGATAAACTAGAGACGCTAGCTGGGGGTCTGAGCAAGCAATGGCTTCCGGAGACCAGCTATAAATACAGAAGCCAAGCCTACACTTGCCACGGGAGACATCTCCCGTCATGCAGGGTGCAGTCGCACCTCCACACATCTCCAGTATCAGCTCTTGATACTGGTAATGGCTCAAAAGGGCCACCACTTACGAGCTATTCATGCCCGTGTCACCTTTTGGGTGGCTTAATCTTCATCAATCAATCAATCTACACTTGCTTCTCCTTCGTCACACACACACACACACACACACACACACACACACACACACACACACACACACACACACACACACACACACACACACACACACACACACATTGGATATGAATGACACAGTGTCATATTGGAGAGGTGACAGGTAGGCTACTAACATGGCTGAACAATTTTCTAGTTGACAGAAAAATGAGGGCAGTGATCAGAGGCAATGTATCGGGGCTGGAGAAATGTCACAAGTGGAGTACCACAGGGTTCAGTTCTTGCACCAGTGATATTCATTGTCTTCATAAATGATCTGCCAGATGGAATACAGAATTATATGAACATGTTTGCTGATGATGCTAAGATAATAGGGAAGATAAGAAACTTAGATGATTGTCATGCCCTTCAAGAAGACCTAGACAAAAGTATATGGAGCACTACTTGGCAAATGGAATTAAAGTGAGTAAATGCCATGTTATGGTATGTGGAATAGAACATAGACCCCACACAACCTATATATTATGTGAGATATCTTTAAAGAATTTAGATAAAGGAAGAGATCTAGGCGTAGTTCTAGATAGAAAACTATCACCTGAGGACCACATAAAGACCATTGTGCGAGGTGCCTATGCTACACTTTCTAACTTAAGAATTGCTTTTAAATTCATGGATGGCATTATTCATTACTGTTGCTAGCAAAGTGTCGATGTTTTGAAATAGAATTTCAATGTGATGTCACCTTCCCTTTCTCCATTAGTCAAAACTTTCATGGATGAAATGTTATTGTCCTGTTTTTGTAATGATAACACGTTGTAGCATTAAATTAAAAATAGCATTTAGGTAGATGAAGAATTTTTGTTGTGGCGAACATAAATACCACTGGTGGTTCTTGACAACCCCACTGGTGGTTCTTGACAACCCCACTGGTGGTTCTTGACAACCCCACTGGTGGTTCTTGTCAACCCCACTGGTGGTTCTTGACAACCCCACTGGTGGTTCTTGACAACCCCACTGGTGGTTCTTGTCAACCCCACTGGTGGTTCTTGACAACCCCACTGGTGGTTCTTGACAACCCCACTGGTGGTTCTTGACAACCCCACTGGTGGTTCTTGTCAACCCCACTGGTGGTTCTTGACAACCCCACTGGTGGTTCTTGACAACCTCACTGGTTGTTCTTGACAACCCCACTGGTGGTTCTTGTCAACCCCACTGGTGGTTCTTGACAACCCCACTGGTGGTTCTTGACAACCCCACTGGTGGTTCTTGTCAACCCCACTGGTGGTTCTTGTCAACCCCACTGGTGGTTCTTGACAACCCCACTGGTGGTTCTTGACAACCCCACTGGTGGTTCTTGACAACCCCACTGGTGGTTCTTGACAACCCCACTGGTGGTTCTTGGCTCTCTCTCTGTCTCTTTATATATATATATATATATATATATATATATATATATATATATATATATATATATATACAAACAAGCCTGAATGGTCCCCAGGACTATATGCAACTGAAAACTCACACCCCAGAAGTGACTCGAACCTATACTGCCAGGAGCACTCTGCTGGCGTACAGGATCCCTTAACCTCGACCAACACGACCAGACAAAAGAAGTCGTATATATATATATATATATATATATATATATATATATATATATTAGTATATTTTGGTAGCAGTCTTTCCTGTAGACATATATTATTAAATATGACCAAAAAAGTAAGATTAATAATTCTAACACGAATTTTCTCAATCTTTCGTACATTACGCTTCACTGTTGGAGGTAAATCAAAAATCAATTCTCCAAAATTCATTTTTATTTCTAGTCTGACGCGACACGGGCGCGTTACGTAAAACTTATTACATTTTCAAAGACTTTAGTTCACAAATACACAACTGAATAGAACTTACGTATCTCCGATTTTATATCTACATTTGAGTGAGG